GACCCGCGGCCTTACACATGAATATCTTAAAGAGAAATGCAGCTACACACACAGGGACACCTGTGCGACTAGGCGTTTGTAATTTGCAGCCGCAAGACATTGACAAAGTGTCTGCGCAGCATCGCTTATATCCTTTGTCAAATAGTTTCTGCAACTTTGACACGCTGAAGTAGACTTTTGCATATTTAGCATGCAAGCCGCTGTCACCTTTCGGAAATGTATGCGAAAGTTAATGAAATACTTGTTTAACAGCTACTTACTAGAAAAACTTTACGAATTTTAATATATATAATATATATGTATATGTAGTAGTTCAATTAGCTAGATCTTATTCTACTCCGTGCAACGGTCACGCACTTAAGCCAATACAATTTACGAAATTGAATTTGTGCAGGTCCACGCCACGTGCCAGTTCGCTAAGGCTATTTATAGCTCTTGTTGTTTCTATTTGAGTAAGGGCTGTTTCAAGTTTACCTTTGAGTTGGCTTCAATTGCAGGGCAAACAAACAAATGGTTGAAGTTTCGGGCACACACTTCGTATACTTAACAAGTGTAAATAGTGTAACAGAAGCCATGCTAGAGATGACTAACCGTAGAGAGTATAGCCTAGACTAGTAGCCGCATTAGCCGCAGCAATGAATTCGATATTAGAATACAGCTCAAGCGCCTACGCATTGAAGCATATTTATAAAGGATGCTGCCGCTATTTGTTGTGCCTGCTCTTCGCTCGGCGCTTGCACAAGTGAAAGTAAGTTTCTTACATATTTCTTTTTGAAGGTCTTTACATACATATACACACAGACACATACACCTACAAGCCCACAAGCACAAGCACATGCACACGCACACGTGCGTAGGACTCGCGCGTCAAATCTCCTTTGATACCTATCAACATCTGATACTTTATTTCCGTTTTCGTTTTCGCTCTAGCAACAAGGCAACCAGCTTGATTCAGCACTAATTAAATTTTTATTGTTTACAAGTTTTAATTAAAAAAGTTTTTGTAGCGTAAAGTAACTAACACGAAAAGCTGCGTGGCCGCATGAAGTGCGTACAAGCGACTGTTGCCACGAAATGCTGCGGATAAACTGAAGGAAAAAGTAGCTAGAAAACAAGCTAGAATGAAATTTCTGAGGTGATGCCATGCGCAGCTGCATGCAGTAAATGTCTCTTAACGCAATTTGTGACGACACACTCTAAAAATTTGAAATTCGCGCCTAGACAACAAACCAGAACTAACAAACTCATATAACATCTATTTAAAAATATAAATAATTTCTTAAATTTTTACCGCCTAAAGATATGCTGCAAAAAATGAACCAACGTGGCAGCGCTAACACTGCCACACTCGACTTATCGACATTATCAAAAATGTGTATCGCAACATTTAATTTGAAGCAGCATGTTGATGAAATATTGAACATCGTGAAGTTGGCTGTGGCCACTCACCTAAAAAAAGAAATACAAGTTATAGATTAATATAATTAAGTGCAACCTTATAGGCTGGCTCCTGCATAGGAGTTGCACTCGTTGCGTAATTACGCACGCTTGTGGGTGGTGTGTTAGGTTGGGACTGTAACATAAAAATGGCATTGGCATTGCGGGTGTTATGCTTAGCCCACAGCAGCGGCAGTTTGGGAAGGTGGCCACAAGAGCGCCGCCGATTGCTCCGATTATGTTGCAGGTCTAGGCTGCAAAGCAGGTGAGTGTAATTACATGATTAGCCCGATTGACAACCGGCATTAAAAACCCATTTCAAACATCATTATCAGGCAGACAACGAATTACAGTACACAAGAGCAGGAATCAACATCGACGGCAACGAAAGCTCCGCCGCAAATTAAGCGAAATGTTGCGTCCGAGATAACAAGTGTTGGCAAAGTCATTTATGAGGCTAGCTGGGATGCCAAAAATTCCAAAAATCTAAGTTCGCAAGTAAAAAGTGGCACAACTGGTGAGATAGTCGTTAGAACTGCAACTAGTCCCAGCAGCGGGCCACCAAAAGAGAGCAAAGATAAGGATAAGGATGACGATAAGGATAAAGAGCAGGAGCAACCCAAGTCAAAGCGCGAACAGATGCGCGACAATGTGCAGGAATACATATTCACGCGTTACTTTAACTATGTAAAAAACTATGACAAAGTACTGGAAAAGAATTTCCCGAAGGCTATGCAGCTCTATAGGGTGTTCTTCGAGGGAGTCAAGGACTTCTTTGCGGACATGAAGCGTTTCTTGAAGATTTCGCGCATTGCCAACCATGCGCCGCAGGGCATACGGGCACTGAATCGTCAAGAGCTCGAGCTGTATATGCAAATGCCGCGTGATATGATGAAAGTAGCGCCTGCCTTAATTGGCTGCTCCTTGCCAATGGTGGGCTATGCTTTCTTTCCGCTTGTGTAAGTGAATTGGTAAACAGAACATTTCAACAGATAATTGTATCAATAACCTCATGCAGCTTTTGGTACCCACGCATTTTCCTAACACCTCACTTCTGGACGGAACCGCAGCGTATCGAGTTCCAAAAATACTATACGAAACGCCGGCTTCAGTGCAACAAATCCGTGCTCCGCTGCCTTCAGGCCAAACTCAAGCAGGTTGAGGGTCACCACAAGTACGCAGAGTTCGAGGCGATTCTGGGTCAACTTGGCAGCGGCACACATCCTACACCGGAGGCGCTCATCTCAGTCAAAGACATTTTTGCCGAGGGACCCTACTCTTTGTTGGGCATGTCGCGAAAACACGTCGTAAACACAAATGCTTCCTATTCAATATCTTTGTTTTGTTTAAGCTGAAGATTGTTTTGCTTGCAGAAATGTCTAGTCAAGATGCATGGACTACCTAACAGCCTATTTAAGCGTCACCGCTTGCACGAGCATGCATTCCTGGTGCACTTTATGGACATGGCTATTACCCGTGAGGGTGGCGTTCACAATCTGAGCTTGGCTTCGTTGCGATACTCCTGCTGTCTGCGGGGCCTAAATCCGGATGACCTAAGCGCGGAGGAGATGATCGATTGGCTACGCAAGTGGGTGAAAGTATCCACGTCGATACAAGGCGAACATATCACTCTCTTTCTCCATCTGCCTGTCCTGTTGGGCTACAACCATCCCAACAACTGGAAAACCATATATTGCAATAAGACTCCATAGGGAACTGGTGCTAGTTGCTCAAAAATTGTTTTTTGTTTTTCAAAAGCAAATAAAACTGTTATATAAAATTTAGATATACTGCTTCCATGTAGGAATAGATTAAACAGGGGGTCTTCGTGTTTTTCCTAAAAATAACACTTCTTTTATTTGCTCCTTTGAGTTGGATGTTCATCAAGCAGTTACTTTCATTAAATTTATTTTCCATTTTATTTCTTGGCCTTGGGCTTGGCCTTCTCGGCGCGCAGACGCTCACGACGATCCTTCTTCAGGATGCGTGGTGTACCATCGGACTTGGTGCGCTTCTTCAATGTGTTGAAGGCAATGGTCAGCAACTTGTTGCGCTGACGCTTGGCATAGCGCAGCTTGAAACGGTCAAAGTCGTTTAATTGCGAGCGCTGCAATAAAATAAATGATACCAGAATTAGTAATCGGAATCATAAGCAAAGTGTAAAGTTAATCAATTTTAAGTTGGTTTCAGTTTAAAATAAAAGCTAGCTTCATGTATGTATCAGCCGGCAATTCCTATCAAGAACATTCAATTATCATCATGTGCAGCACACAGAGAGCGAAAGTTCAGCTCTGTATTTCCCTCACCTTGCAGATGTTTTGTGCCTTAATGGACCAGGCACTGGTTTTCCATTGTGCCTTCAGGTCGCTGTCCACCCAGGCTTTGCGCACAATGCTTGTGGGCGCGGTGTATGGGAACTTGATGCGGTACTTGGTCAGATGCAGATTGTTCAATCTGTATTCCTGACGTGGAACACCAGTCAGAGGTCCATCAACCAAAACCTGTAAGAAATAAATAAATTAGTTCAACTGCAMTACAATTATTGAGCAGCAACAATTGTGTGTGTATTGTATTTGGCGGTTGGCAGACAGTTTTTGCTTTCAGTTAAGTAACTTAGCTTCATTTATGTGTCAGTTGGCACTTCCTATCAAGAAGACAAATTATCATCATGTGCGAATGGCTGCTGCCTCAAGCGAACACACATTTCTTGTTGCTGCTATTCATGCACAGGTGGATCCACTTACTCTGTTTTGATCAATGACGTCGACAATGGCAACCAGGCGACCCTTCAGGGGACCTGCGGAGGCCTTGGCGATGCGACCAGTTTGTACGAATCTCTCGAAAGGCTGCAATCACACAACATAAAAGACTCATATCAGTAAAAATTCTTTTCAAATCGCGGGGTGTAGTATGGACTGCGCGTTGGCTGCTAGCTGAACCGTTCTGGACACCACGTGAAATATTTTCATTGCATTTAATACAATCACAGAATCATTTATTTGGCGATTTTTCGTTAGCAGTAGCTCAACGCGGTTTTCCCAAGAATTTCTTAATTCAGTAAGCGCACTTTAAACCTTTTTATTTTCACATTTTCAGTCCAAATGAGGAAAATACTTTATTGGATCTTACCATGACGCTAACCGGAAAGAAAGAGAAGGAACGTAACAATTTTGACAGCTCGGCATCAACATGGCGAAATGTGTGCACCAATACAGGGTTGCAATTGGAATGTGCGTTACAGCACTGTTGTTATTATTGCCAGTTCCAAAATGAGTTGATTGCAGATATATCACAAAAAATTAAGATTTAAATAATTTCTAAATTACTTGAGAACAGATAAAATATTTGTACTATTTTTATAATTATTGTTTTAATAAATTTATTATTAATTCAGTTATTTATTTATCATAATATCGCAATAGATGTTTCCATCAACAAATATTTTAAACCATCTGGCAACACTAATACGTTACCAGAAGTATCTATTTAATCACATTTGGCATGATCTGGTACTTTTAGTAAGAGTGTTTATACTTTTGTGTGTTATTAAAATATTGTTGAAGAGAAATACAAGACACTTAAAACGTAACAAAATACCAAAATGGTTTACATACACTTTCCAAATAATCTAACAGAGGAGGAGCAGATGCTCCAAGCCAAATATCAAAAACTGAAGAAAAAGGTAGACACTCTGGCCAAGTGGCGTCTTGAAGTGCATTCTTTATAAGTATTTCTTATTGTTATAGAAAAAAGCTTTACAAGCTCACAAAGCGCCCAAGCAGGAGCCAGAGAGCGCTCTTACATTGAAACGGCCTACAGATGCGCGTGATGCGAGGGAAGTGGCTCGTAAGCTGATCAAAAGCGGTGCCATTCCCGCCATACAAAAGCAGCAAACAAAGCAGGACCAAACCTCATTTAAGCGGCCAAAGGGCCAGGAGCGTGCCAAACGTTCCACCTCAGAGACGACTGTGGCTGCGTATCAACCTTTCTCATCGACACAGAACGACGTGGCACAGGAGACCATTATCAGTGAAATTATAAAAGAGGAGCCACGCCGTCAAAATTTGTACCAACACTTTGCCACGGAACGCGATCGTGAGGAACGTGGGCTGACAGAGAAAGTGACGCTAGATGCTACGCAGCCAGAGAAGCCTCGCGCTGGCAATACGATATTCGTCTCGGGCAACAAAGTTACTGAAGAGTTTCTTAAGAAAACGTTCAACGATTATGGCACCATCGTCAATGTATCTATGGAGATTGAGAAGAGGTGCGTGTTGAGCTGTTTATAATGGTAAACTCATATATATTAATAATCTATGTGATTTGCAGTCGCGGATTTGTTTCGTTTGCTAAGCCGGAATCCGCAGATCGCGCCATAGCCGAAATGCACGGCAAGAACGTGAATGGAATTGTCCTGCAGGTGCAACTAGCTCGCCGCCAGCCGCAAATTGAGCCCATCAATGATGCTTCATCTTCAGCAGTTTGGTCTTCCATAGGTAAACGGCTTTAATTTAAGTTATGCAAGTATCGTTATCTAATTTCCTCTTTCGCTTGCAGCTGCCAGCAAATCGCAAAAGGGAAGTCACAAGGATTTGCGTCAAATGGTTCAATATGATGATGATTTCTTAAAGTAATGGATTTAGCCTAGTATTTAATTTGTATCATAATTTCTTTCATTTCATTTCACACATTTGGTAAGTCAGTAAGTTCATTTATCATGTTTATGTAGTTTCTTGCTTTATTGAAAATACGTTTCTCTATAAGTTTATATATAAAGAACTTACATATTTTTACCCTCGCGCGGTTCAAATCAATTGCTTCTTTGTAAATAAAAGAAAAACATGCGTATATAATGCATTCATGAGAAGTAAAACAATTCATCATTTATATGTGTATTATACCTAACTCAGGTCTAAATAAAATTTATATATTTAAAATAAAATAAAAAAACAACAATCGATTCTTTAAGTATTTAACAATTCGAAAAATAGAAAAAATGAGTGAACAATATTTAGATATTATTAAGTTGACTTTGTCTGTTCGCCAACAAAATTGAGCCCCATTCTGGATAGCTCACCATATATCAGGTAGCTAATAAATGATTTACTTAGTTTAAGTACATATTTAATACATGATCTTTAGTTATTGTTGTTGTTGCTGTTGTTGTTTTGGGAGTATTGTAGAAAAACATGATATTGTTCTTGTATTTCGGTTAGTATGAGATATATGTTCTATATAAGTCAGTGTGTTTGTTACTGAACTGGGATTGATTGACTGATTGACTGATTGTTGTTCGATTGATTAGTTGTTAAGCTGCGACTAGAGTAGCACAGGCATCGCCTCTCACTTTGCATCCTTCCTAAAGTATTTATTTTGTTAGTATGTAGTATATATCATTAATGTTAAGGCCTTTGGTTTCGAGCGTTCGGCTGGTGCCCGACGCTTTCTAAATTCGTTTCATGCTCCAAAATGCAAAGAAAAATTGCCCAAGTATCATTTGGTATACAAAATATCCAAGCCACAAAATGTCCAAAATCTGGGGAGCTCTTTAGATTTCACGTTTGCCTACCCTCGTTGCTCGGCGGATTGAAGTAGTCCCAATGGTGTGTGTGCACCTGGCGACCCGTCAGCAGAAAGACGATCACAGCGAAGGTGATCAATATGAAGAGCACCATCAGCGAGGATATATTTCTGGGCTGCTGCACCGGCTCAACCTCTCCGCGGACAAAGTGGGTCAGGTGGTTGATTATGTTAATCAGCTCTAGGCTACAAACGGAAAGGAACTGTCGACCGGCCTGCGCCACTGTCTTGGGCTGATCATCATCGAACTCCTCCATTGCCTGTGTAGCGCTGCGCGTGCGCGAGCGACGCGAACGCGAACGAGGACGCGCCCTCTCGAGTTGTTCCTCCAGCTCTGAGTCGGAGTCGAGTTCCTGTTGCTCTTCGTGCACATGGCGACGTCGGCATTTGTGTGGCGCCTTGCGTTCCGAGCTGCCAGGAGCAGCTGCTGCTCCTGCCTGCTCCGCTTCAGCACTGCGCTGCAAGTTGTAGAAGGCCAATGGAGCCAGGGATTGCAGATACTCGACACTGGGATACACAGGTGGCGGTGGTGGCAATGGAAGCATTGCGGCTTCTGTTTGTGTCTGCTCGTCCAGATTGCTCTGGGTGGCTGCAGGCGTTGACTCATTGATCTTGCCTTGGCGTGGCGGCTTGGTGGGTGGCTCCACATCGCTAGTGGCGGGTTCACTGCTGGCTTGACGGCTCGTCTGTGTTTCGCTGGTCAGCAACGATGGACGCTGCTCCTTGACACGCTCCACAATATCGTCTATAAAACCGGGTGGCAGATTAATGTTCTGCACCACCAGCTGACCCGATTTGCAGGCCAGGTCATCGGCTGTGACTTGCCCGCCGTGCAGCTGGGACACCTGAATCTGTCCAGCCTGCAGCGCATGCACCCGCAGTCGCTCCACCTCCAGCTCCTGGATGTGGGTGGGCAGCTGCAGCGGAGGCGAGGCTCGCAGCGCCTGAATGGGCGTTAGCTCGCGGCTCACCTGCTCGGCAATGGTCAATATTGAAGTAGCTGTCGGTTCGACGAATGTGGTGGATTTACGACGTGGCGGCGGCAAGGGCGTCGCCTCTGGCTCGGCTCCTGCTGCTTCTGCGGGCAGTTCTTGGCTGTAGGCCGTAGCAGGTTCGGTGGGTAAAGAGGCAACGAATTTGGCATCGACTTCTGCTTCAGTGGGCTCATGTACAATGGTCTTCCTAATGGGTGCTTCTTCCACTGTAATTTGCTCCACTTGTGACGGCTCCTCTGGCTCTACCTCGGATAAAACAGGCTGTGCTTCGGATAAAGCAGGCTCAGGTTCGGATAGAGCCGGCTCAGCTTCGGATAGAGCAGGCTCAGCGTCGGATTGAGCCGGCTCCATTTCAGATTGTACAGTTTCTACCTCGGATGGTGCCTGCTCCACTTCGGACAGCACCTGCTCTGTATCAGATAGAATGCGCTCTTCCTCTGATAGCACGTGCTCCTCTTCGGATGTGGGTTGCTCCTCGGCGAGCGCCTTTGCTCTCGACTCTGCGATCTCTGCTTGTCTGTACACGGCCAGCATCTTTTCCATTTCCTCTTGCAGCTCCTTTTCGAGTGCTTCGTCCAGCTCCTGGTCTGTCGTCTCTCCCTTAGGTTGCGAACTTTCTTCCTCGTCAAAGTGATCAGAGTACTTCTCATCATCCTCTTCATCGTACTCGCTTTCTCGTAGCGTACGCTCCACTTCATCATCCTCCAGCTTGCTGTCGTAGTCACTCTCGAGCTGCGCCTGCTGCAGTTGCTCCACAGCTGCCTCCAGGTCGGCTGAGCTGGCTGCATAGTCGCTAAGGGCGACCTCGCCACGCTCATCCTCCTCACCGGCTGTTTCCACGTCAGATTTGCTCTGCACCGAGCTATCAGACAGCAATCCCTCACGTCTTAGCTCCTCCTCCTCACGACGCAGTTCGTCATCCTCCAAATCAGCAGCGCTAATGGGGCGCACAATCAGCGACGCTTGCACCGTGGCATCGCCTTCGATGCTAGGCGTGGGCACGCGTCGCTCTATGATTACAGCTGACGATGGAGTCTGTGGACGACTCAGAGACTTGGAGCGATCCGCTTGTGAAGATGCACGTGAGCGTTCCGATAAGCTGCGCTGATTAGCATCACGGAATCGTTGCAGTCCCTTGGCTAGCTGCTCATCCTCTGTGAGCACTGGAGCGCCATCCACCTCATCCGGCTGCTGGGCCTCTGTGCTGCGCAGCAAATCCTCCAGCGTAGTCTTACCACCTGTGGGGCGACGAGGCTCTATAATTTTCATATCCTCCGTAATCTCAAACTCCTCGCAAATAAAATCATCTGGCAATGGGTCCGTTTGTGTGGACACCTCCACCTCGAATTCACCCTGCTCGGTACTATCGGCCGTCGAGGAGCTAGCCACGCGCTCGCTGTCCTCGTCCAAGCCGCTGCCGCCCCTCGTTGAGCGTTTTTCGCGCGGTGGGCGTGGTGGCGGTGGCAGCGGTCGGAACTTCATTTTGTTGATGACCTCGCCGGACTGCAGATTCGAGCGTGGGGACTCGGGTCGCTGTAGTGCGCCCGGCTCCTCGTAATCATCCTCCTCCTCCACCAGTTGYGCCTGCTGTCGCTCCCGATCCCGATCCGGCTGTGCGGATGGCAAGGTCGCGTAGCTAGGGAATAGGGTTTAAGGAGCATTAGAAACGCTTGGTCTCGGACTCGGGTGGAAGCAAGCGGCAAACGAAACAGAAGGATTAGGCAAATAAAAGCTGGGCAAACTCGTGTGAGTGCGTTTTTGTTGTGTTTCATGTTTAGGTTTTATTTGTAAGTATGTGTGTGTGTGTGTGTGTGTGTGTGTCTACAAGGTATAGTATAGTATTAATTAGCAGTATTTCTGGGTCTTAGCTTATGGCGCTTAAGCCTAATTGCTTAACAACAAAAACAAAACTTAACAAAAATGCATTCGAGACAATTTTTTAAAAAGGTCGCAAAAAGTCACAAATCAAATCAAGATTTAAATAATATTTCAATGCAAGCGTCGCAGCAGCAGCTGTTCTTACTTTGACTTGAGCAGCAGGCCGGTGGTCATCTCCTCCAGACTTGCAGCCGATCTGCGACGCGGCGGCAGTGGCGAATCCTCGCTAGGTATATACTGCTGCGGCGGCGGCGGGCGGGCCGGAGGCGGGGAGCCACGCGAGCCGCGTATGCTGGGCAGGGTGGCGAAACGCTCACCGGGCGAACGTGTGAACTTCTTGCGACGCGCCGGGGGCGTCGGCTTTGGCACGGGCTCCTTGCGCACCACCGCATAGCTAGATGGAGGAGGGAAAGCAGAGAGCGCACACCTAAGCAACAATTTGGCCAGCGGAGACCTAATGCGACCCCCGTTACTCACCCATCGCTCTCCAGCATGTCGATGACGAACTTCTCCTCGCTCTCAATTCTGGGCGCTGCATCCTTGCTGAGCAGCTCCGGCTTGGTGTGCACATCCAGGATCAGCGATTCGGCGCCACGCGAGGTGCGCTCATCCTCGGAGCGCTGGGTGCGGGCCGAGGTGCCGTCCGTAAAGGTGTCGGGCGTGGCTAACGGTATGTGATGCTGATATTCGTGCTCAGTGCGATAAACAATTACCTGACAAACGACACAGATGCAACTCCATATAGTATACATATGTATATAGGGAGACGGTGCTTTGCTAAATACCAAATTTAAATTTATTGGCATCGATCCATTCCACTGACAGAACATATATTATAACAATGTGCAATAGAATGCTGTACATAGTAGTACCTCAATTTAGTAGCTACTACAATGCGAAATTCTTGAATTTTAACATAATGCACTCTAAATAGCGCTAGCACTATGAGACTGCCCTATATTATATAGCTGACTTGGAAATTATTTGTCGAAAATTAAAAATTTAATTTGAATTCTATCATATGATTGGATCTAGATATGTTTACATGCCAGACTAATACTCTATACATATATAAATAGTAGTACTACTATATAGAAATACCTAGCTGAATCAGCTCTAGATACGTTTCTACGTCAGACTACCTTATATATGCATACTAAAGAACAAATCTATTAATATAGATCAGACTTAGATGTGTTTATACAAAGGAAACAATCTATAAAGTTGTTATCTGAAATACTTTACTACCTCATATATAAGTACTAAAGAAACCATCTTTTGAGTTATTATCTTTATATTATATAGTAGTTTCTCATTTTGTACTCACATCTTCGTGTGGCTGCAAAAAGGTGTTCGATACTGATCTACCACCAAAGCCATTGATGAACGAGTCCGCGTCCATCTCCACAGATGCGTCGTCGCGTGTGCGTTTCTTTTGCCGTCTGGGTGCCTGTGGGCGGGTCTGTTGGGTGTTGGGCTGCTCCTGGCCAGCGTAGTTGAGATTGTTGAGGGCCTGCTCCGATTCCGTTGGCTGCTCGCGCATGGGCGGCCTCAGGTACTCCTCATCGTCGTCGAAGTACTGGATGCTGCTGCCGCCATCCGCCATCGGTATGTCCTGGCTGCCCTCCATGGAGTATTTGCTGCGACTGCGTGCCTTGCGCAATGGCCGCTTGGGCATGAAGTCGCTGCCGTTCTGTGACATGGACAGATCGTCGCCGTAGTCGCTGCGCTGGAACTCCTGCGAGTCCTCGAAGTCGGGGCGATAATTGCGATGCAGGCGGCGGGGCTTGGGCGGCGGCACATCGTAATCGCCGAAGTCCTCAGTCCTCGCGCGCTCCTCCTGCCGCGCGGAGCGGCCGACGTGCTGTAGCGCATTGGGCGCATCGTAGCCCTCGCGTATGGCATCGCTGATGTATTGACGCAGCTGGATGTTGTCCTCGGAGATGCCGCGCTTGCGCAAGAAGAACTCGTCATCGTCGATCTGCTCCATGACGACCTTCTTGCCGGAGCTGGCCGTCGACTGGGCATCCTGCATCTCATGGTACTTATAGTAACTGGCCTCCGCATCCATTTCGGCCTTGCGCAGCAGCTTGTTCTTCTGTATATCCTTCTCCGTCCAGCCCTCAGCATCGTGGCTATCCTCAGAGCGCAGATCCGAGTCCTGGTGCACCATGGGTCGGCGCTTGAACTCCCTGGTGCGCTGGCTGGAGATCTCGTGTATGGCGCGATTCTCCTCATCGAACTCGGCAAACTGTTTGCTGTCCGTCACGCCACCAAGGATGCCCATTTCGGTCTGTGGCTGCGCCTCGCTGGCCGTATCGCCCTCCAAGTCCTCCTTCATGCGCCGCTCCAGCGAGGACTCCCTGTCAAAGCTTTCCAATTCGCTGCCATAGCGTCTGTAGCGCGAGCCTTCGCTGTCATTGTAGCTCACATCGGAGAACTTGTCCGCCCAACGGGAGCGCACTGGGCCTGGTCCACGGTCGCCCTGCGGCGAGCTCGTGGAGGTCTGCGACGGCTGAGTCTCGGTGCTGGGTATGACGCTGACACTGAGGCGGTCTGTGCCCAGCGAGGATTCCATGGGCGGCGGCGTCTCCTCGACGGGCTTCTTCTTGCGGAAGGCGCGTGGATAGGTGCCAAAGTTGAACTCGAACTTCTTCTTTGCAGGCGCCGGCGCCGCATCAGCCGTGGTGGCTGGTGACTCCGTGGACTCGGTGGGCAACTCGGACTCGTTCTCCTTGAAGCTCTTGCTGCGTCGCAGCTTCAGTGTGGAGAATTTCTCGGGCAGCTTAAACTTGGACATGTCGGGCTTGTTGAACTTGGTGAACTCCGGGCGCTTTATGTCCCTCAGCTTGGACATGTCGGGTCGCTTAATATCGGGCATTTTGATTTTTGAGAACTCGGGCGCAAATCGTCGGCGCTCCTTGGCCTTGGGACTGCCCGAGACGGGCTTCGGCTTAGGCTGCGTGCGTAGCTTAGTGCGCAGCTTGCCCGCCTGATTCCGGAGGCCATCCTGCATCTTGCGCGTGCGATCTTGGGCGGATGCCATGAAACTCTTCTTGCGATTCTCCGGCTGCAGTGGCAGCTCCTCCAAAGCGCTCGAATCCACTTGGCTGGTGTGTATCTCGTAGTCCGTGCGAGACTCGGTGCGTGGCGTGATTCCAGCTGAACTCAGTTCAATGTCAACGTCCATGGGTATCTGGAGGCTGCTGCTGTTGGGGGCGGGGGCGGGCGCCGGCTCAGCTGCTGGCGCGGCTTCAATCTCCCGCGCCGGCGACACACCCACGGGCTCGTATTCATGATCACTGCAAGAGGAGAGAAAGGGGGAACAGATGGAACATATTATTAAGCATTCTACATAGGGATGACAATCGACATATATATGTTGCTCTGTTTGTGATTTGCTGCAAGCGAAGATTAGTTAAGCCGTCACCCTGTTCTCATTGCTTTGGTTTTTGGAATTTCTGGGTGGCTGTGTGTGTCTGGAGGGGTTTTCGGGTTGTCGGGTTTTGGTCTATGCCGACGGTGGGGTAGCTGTTGCTTACCGAGAGAAATAGGTCCGGTCGAGGAAGTCGATGTGATCTTTTTGCTTTTGGGTTAGGGGCGAATCGGACTCAAATTCCGCTAGACGCGATCTACGCTCATCAAAATTGAAACTAACCGTCTTTGTCATGCGAGCCGGCGACCCATACAGCTGCTCATGGGAGCCGGCTAATCGGCCACGGTGATCTTGCGACTGTGTGCGTGGCTCCCTAACAGAAAGCTTGCTGCTCCGCAGGCCAAGGCGCTGCTCGGACGGCCGATATACCTGGCTGCCACTGCCCGTAATGTGAATGGGCACGGATATGAGCGGGCGACTGCCAGTCGATGGATCCTTGCTGACCGAGTGCCGAAACTCCGACTCACTCTGCGACCAGCTCATGCCAGGCATCTCAATCTCGCTGGAGTAGAGATTCCGATTGCCGGCCATGAAGCTGACGCCCCCAATGCTGCTGACGCCCCCAATGCTGCTTAAGGTGCCCCGCGGCACAGACGAGACGACAACCGGGGCGAATGCCTCGCTGATGTCCACCGAGGCCCGCTCCGAGGCGGCAAAGTCCTCTCGGCTGCTGTACATGGTCTGGGCATGGGGAGGTGGCACCAGTGGCTTTGGCGGATGCGAGCTGTACTGGTCCATCTCATCGACCTTCAGCGAGAAGGTCTCTGTCACTCGCACAGATAGCGGCTCGGCGTCCTGGCGCTTCAACACGTTCGACGTGCTGCTGACTATCGACATGGGCTGGGGCTTGCTCTTGGCGAATACAGAGGTCAGCCTGCTGGGCGAGGGTGACTTCTCCCGCGTGATCGACTGGGACTTGTCCACGAATGGCGAGGGTGAGCGTGAGCGCTGTGGAGTGGGCGACTTCTGTTGCTGCTCCTGTCCCTTGGAGCTAAACATGGACTTGAAGCGCGAGGCATAGGAACTCTTTACTTCAGGTGAGGCCGCCTGCACGTTGATGGCACCTGCAATCGTAGCAGGAGCAGAGCTGGACATGGGCTGCCACTTGGAGGCTCGCTCCGGCGAGAGCTGGCGCTCGGGCGTGTGTTGGCGCTTCAGCTGTGAGGCAGCAGCTGGCGTCGCAGTTGGCTGTGCGGGAGGACTGCTGGGTCGACTCGAGGGCAACTGCAGCGTGTCCATCAGAGGCGGAGCTGCAGCAGAGGTCGTTGGCGGGGTCTGCGGCGACTTTGGCCGCCTGGATGGCCTGGGACTGCGGCTGCGATGCTCGACGGCCTTCAGCTCCTCATCCCGCACGAGCGCATCAATGTCCACAACGGGTACTTCGTTCACAATCTCAATTTGGGTCAACTCATCCACCTGCAAGGGCTTGACGCTCAGCTCGCTGGCAATGGACGGCGGACGCCTGGTCTGCGTCTGTATGTTGTCTCTGATATTCACGAGATTGTGCTCCTGGGCAATCTGCTCCAGCTCCGCCACAGTTTCGGCCAGCGGATCGATGGGCGTGACTGTGGGCTTGTATGGACTCTCCTGCTGCCTCAAGTCTGATTCCAGCAAAAACGTAGGACGCACTGAATCACAGCCGAAGCGAGAAACATCAATGGGTCGATTCTGTGGCAGCGTTGCGTCTGGCGACTGGTTCTCCTTGTTTTCAGCGCTGGGACGCATGTAATCCGGCGACAAGGGCGGCTTGGCATTGCGAAAGTCGCGGGCTCCTGGCGCTGGCGAGGATTGGTGTGATGAAAATTGGGGTGGGCTGTCTGACATGCCCGGACTGGGCGTGGCGGCAATCAGATTCAACTGCGGCGGCTGCAGCGAGCCCGGCACGATGCTGGCCTGAAACAGATCCGCATTGGAGGTACGACGACTGGCGCTGGCCGAGCGCTGACCTCCATGTCCTGCACGACCCATGGAAGTGGGTATATTAATGTCCGCACAGTAGAGGTCCGTCTTGGAGTTGCCCACCGAAATGCGACGCAGGGAGGTGCCACTGCGCATGGACACGGTGTCGCCGAAGCGTCCAACGCTGCCCGAGGAAAATCCGCCCACTGACAGCTGGCGCCGTCGGCCCGCCATCAGAGCACCGTGAGTGCCGGGCATATCCGGTTCCGTGGCATCCGAGATGCTGCGCACGACCAGGCCACGCGAACGAGCCGTTTGCTCCAGCTCCGGATAGCGTTCCATGAAGCTCAGATCCACCGAGGGCGCCACATCCGCATGGCTAATCACCTCAAAGCTGTGCATGGACAAGTCGTCCGGCTGCACGTGATAGTGGTCATCGCTGTGGTGGCCCTGCCTGGAACCAGGTCGCGAATCCACGGGATTCACGCGCTCCGGCAGCAGCGAATCGCACTGAAAGAACTGACAGGCACAACGCACATCCAACGAGGCGCCGCTAGCGCTCTCCACGCGCGACACAAAATGCTTCTTCTCAGCGGGCAGAGCGCCCACCGAGGCGGAGCGCCTCGAATTGAGCATCGTTCAGCCGTCGAGCTGCTAACCCGAGGAGTGATGTGGCGATGTTGAGATGAACGGATGAACGGCTGAACAGCTGTCGCTGCAGCTTTGCCTATTTACTTGGCCCTGGTCCGTAATCCGCTAGATGTAGCTATTGTTGTTGTTGTTGCTGCTGCTGCTGTTGTTGTTGTTGTTGTTATTTTCGCTTTTGTTCGTCTTAGTTTCGTTGTCGTTTTGTGGTTCGTGGTCGTTGTCTATTTTTAAGCATCACCAAAGCAGCCGCCGTCGTCGCCGTCGTCGTCGCCTTTGGACATTGAATTTATAATTTTCTTTAGATTTTCAGCTTTTGCTTTTACAGCTATTTTTTGCACTATTGAAAATTTGATGGCGAAACGAGCTTTTTCTAGTCTTCAAGCCCTATTCGAACTGGGCGCTTCCAGCACAGATGTCTTTTGTATGTTATATAGTTCAGATTCTTGATCTAGATTTTCTTTCTATCTTTTCTCTTTTTCCCTTTTTTTTTTGCACTGCGGCCCGTTCGAGGCGAGCGTCTACATCGTTGCGATTTTCGGCCAGGACTGAGAGCTTTTCACATTTTGCGCGACACAAAAAAATTTTACGAAATTTTTCGTTTTTGAATATGTTGTTCTTTAAAATTAGCAAAAAGCACACACACACACACAGTCACATATACATGCTTGGGGCGACAAATACATCGCCAATGGGCAGCATGAATTGAATTTGTAGTTGTCTTTAATTTCCTCGTTTGAAATCCCCATTTCAACTGCGACGTCCACTGCGACTGCGACTGCGATGCCGACGCCGACTGCGCTGCTTGTTCATAATTGGGATGTGGCCGAGCAGCAGGAGTAACAATTTGTTGGCCTGCACTTAGTGGTTCTATTTTGAGCAATGCGCCGCTGCCGCCTGCCGGAAATCTTCTTGTCATTCGTTGACCTTTAAGGCGTTTGAATTATTCGTGTTTTAATGTAAGTTCATGTCACAGCATCGCTCATTCAAATAGAATCATGTGCAAGTAAATATATAGTTAAGGAGTGTAGAAATTTAAAATTTACTGGTTCCAATTGGTGTTGCGAACTATTTCCAGAATTAGCTTAGCAATTCACGAAGCCAATCATATAATAATTTTTTGTTGTAAGTCCAAATATCTGGATGAACTAGTTCCACCTTATCCACACATATCTGATGTTTCTTTACCTAATTCCAGCAAGTTAAACAATGAACATTTACAAACATATAGGTTTTTATCCAGTAATAAAATGAACTAGTTCCGAACTTAGTTCATATATTCCATTGACACTCATTTTGTAGATTATTGTTAGATTTAAGATTCCATACCAATAACATGCTTGTTTTTGGTGAACTAGTTCCACAAGCAGCTCACCTATGCAGTTAACCTATATTTCTTATTATTTAATAATTAGTTTGCCTAGTGCTCATGTGAACTAGTTTCAATACCTTTGAACTAGTTCCATAAATGAACAATGCAGTATAAACACAATTTTTGATCCTTTAGATAGTTTCACAGTTTACCACTCATTAGTTTGTCTTAATGCTTATTTGTTCAATTGAACCAGTTGCTGTTCACCAATGATTTTTGAGATTTACCAACACCAGTTTCGAATCGAGGGGGACAACACGGACGCTTACAAATTTCCTCTTGCTTATCGCAGTTCTTACCTTGGGTCTATATCATGTTAAGAGTTAAGAGCCGTCTCCAAAGTGCTACCCCTTACCAATACTTCTTGGTTGCTCCACTGCTGCTGCAGCAGCAGCAGAGCGTCCAAGTGTTGGTTAGCTTCAATCGCCAGGTTCTGTGAGTGGGCGTGGGCGTGCGAGTGGGCGTGTAGGTTGAGGTGTTGTCTGTGTGGTTGTTGTCGGTGTAGTGGTAATCGCGATAGTAGGGCTTGTGTTGCTTGTACCGGAGACTGTGCAGACGACGTCGCAGGCCGTCGCCATCGACACCCGGCACGAGGGTTAGTAACAATTTCATAAGCAAGTCAATTGGGTTAGAGTTTCTGCAAGACGGCGTTGTGTTGTGCTCCGTGTTAGTGTTGTGCAAAGAATACTGGATAGAGATAAGGCCCCAACCCCGGACTTACCTATCGCTCTTCAGTTTGGCCGCCGTTGTGGCCGCCTCCAGCACATCCTCGGGCAGCTCGATGTCCTCGCGATGCGGCTCGGCCTCATCCTCGACGTGGGAGAAGGTCACCTTCTTGTCGGATGGCGCCGGCGAAGCTTCCTTCTTCAATGCTGGTCGCAGCTCGGTAATCTCTGATGGCTCGTCGCTCTCCTCGACAACGGGCGACAGCTGTGCGAGACGCGCACGGTCTTCATCCGAGGACGTGGAGTCTATGGACGAGAGTGGCGCCAAGAGACCCACAGATTTCTCGGCAGCAGCCACGGCCACCTGATCCTCCTCGCTGCTGCCCATGCGATCGAGGGGCACAGTCTTGGCTGCCTCGATGTCATCTACAGTGAGATTATCTTGACGTATTAGCGACTTCTTCAGTGCATCGAGCTCCACGATGGGCTGCTCCAGCGGCAGCTGTGACTCCGCGTGGCCAATCTCCTCGTAAACATGTTCACGACGCAGCCGTGGTGTTTTCTTGGGCGGCGTCTCCACCTCCGTCACCGCCTCCGCCTCTACCTTCGCCTCTGCCCCGATTGGCTCCTCGACAGCCTCTGTTGTTGGCTCGCTGACTTCCTGGGCGGGCGTTTCAGTCTTGGTCTGCTCCACGGGCAGCTCAATGATCTCGTCCGGCTGTGGCACGCTGGCTGCTGCACTGGTGCTGGGCAGCTCATCCTGCTGCTCCTCCTCTTTGGTGCGCTTCCTGCAGGGCGATTCGTCGTACTCCACCAGCTCAAGCACATCATCGGAGTCCTGCTTCTCTATAAAGTGCGGTATCTCGCCGCGGGTCGACTTTGGTGAGGCTTTCAGCTTCATAATCTTCTGCTGCTCACCCAGGACGATTTTCTCGTCCTTCTTGAGCGTAATGCGCTTGATATTCAAGCGCTTCTTTTGGCGCTCCGCCAAGCTCTTGAGCTTCTTCATAATGTCGAAGCTCTTCTTTGGCTTCTGCTGCTGCTTCTTGGGCGGCTTGTCTGTATTCGGAACTAACGATCCTGGCGGCGGCGCTAGTTCGTGCAGACTGCCCTGTCTACTAGGATTTGCCGAGCTGCCGGGCAGCGACTGAGCGTCGGCCTGAGTGCGTCCGCTGCGCCTGCGCTTGATGATGTCACGTATTTGCGCTAGGCGATTCGTTTTCCTTGGCCGCGCGTGGCCTCCAACGGCGAGCACCGAGTCGGAGACACAGGAGATGCACTCGCTGAGCGTGTCCTCGTTGTGGGAGCGGCGCTCTGAGTCGTCGGAATCTTCCGACTCCTCGCTGCTGTCGTCGTCGTCTGTGTTGTCCAGGACCTCGTCCTCGGACAGATCCTGTATGTAGCGCTCGGTTTCCTTGACCAGCACCTGCTCGTCGTAGCGCACCTTCTTCAGCGACTTGGGTGATTCGGACTTGAAGCGCAGCTCCTGCGACTTGCGCAGCAGCAAAACAATCTCCGGCTCCTCGTCGGGTCCCAGGGGACGCTTGTACAGATGTGTCCACGGATAGCCACCCTGCAAACGGACATTTGATGATATATATTAGATAATGTTTATGGGCTTACGGGTGTTCCTGACTTACCCGCTCTCTGGCCCTGCGGAGATCCTCCCAGCGATAGGTCTGCAGCGGCACCGGCGGCTTGTCTAGGCTGCTCTGCAGCAGATACTTCTTCAGCGACTGGTAATACTCTCGCTTGCAGTCGGCGGACAGACGCTTGGCCTCCGCATCCGTGTGGGTATCCAGGCGATCCTGTTCGAATTGTGGCAGTGAGTCGATGAACTCCTTGCGTTGCTGCTCCTCTGCCTCCGATTTGGGTGTTGGCACTTCGACAAGCTTCAGCTCGTTGGCAGCGATTTTCGTTGAGTTATCTTCTGTTCGCGCTTGCTCCAAGGCAATCTTTGGCTGCACCTTGGTCTTGAGTATGCTGGTCAGCTCATTCAGTTGGGCGTCCACCTGCTGTGAGAGCGAATTCACTGCGGTTAGCTCTGACTTGAGCTGCTCTTCCTGCTCCGCCTTGGCCTGTGCTACATCTTTGCTGAAGCTCTCAATTAGCTCGCGCTCGATGTCTTTCACCAGCTGCTCGGCAGTCTGACGCACTGCCTCCGATGCTTCCGTTGCTGCAGCTGCTGCAGTTGCTGTTGCCGTTGCCGTCTCGTCTACTTCGGCAATTTGATGCGACGGTGCGAGAGTCTCTATTGGCTGCTTTGTCTTGGCGCCCGCTGGCTCCACCTCAATGGCATGCGAGACTCCGTCAGCCTCGACCTTGGATGTGCCCGTCTGCAGCTCCTGCTCGATGGGCGGCAGCTCCTTGATGCCAACGCCGCTCTGCTCTGCCCTGTTCACGTCCTCAATGAGATGAGATTCAAAGTCCAGCAAATGCGACCCGCCCGGCGTGGTGGGCACCTGTGTGGGCTGATTCAAACCGCTGACTGGCAGTTCGTTGTTATTCTCAAGGGCTAGCTTCAGTGCCGCCTTGCTCTGTTTCTGTATCGGTGTCTCTCCCTCTTCCTCTTCCCCTTCCTCTTCCCTTTTCACTTGCAGCTGAGCGTCGTCGCTGATGCCGTTGATCAGCAATATGGTTGGCTGCTCACTTGGGCCAGTTCCAGCGCCAGGAAGCGACACTGCAAGAGGTGAGCGCAGAAACAGAATTAGAGATTTATTTACTTACGGTGCGAATGCAAAACAGTTTCACAGGTGCTAAAAATAATATGAACAGATTTGTTTTCCTTCGAGACGACAACAACAACAATTCGCAACAATCGACAATTACATAAGACAGCGAGAGTTGTACATAGGCAGAAACAAGGACAGAGATAAAGAGAGTGAGAGATCGACGGAGACAGAGAATGAGCGTGAGATCATGAGAGACATTTGCGAGAGCCACAATGTATCTGAAAATGTTGCAATTACGAAATTCACCAAATTCCTTGCTAAAATATTTACCACAAATGGTTTTCACTTAACAATTTCGAAAATTTCGTTTGGTTTTTTATTTCGATTCGTTTTCGTTTCTCCAAAATTTTTTACACACACATAAAAAATGGTTCGAATTTGCATTCAGTTATAGTTTAATTATAGTTTATGCATAATTTTGTTCTTAATTTATTTCTTGCACTATCCTCGAATTGTTTTGCAGCGCCGCGAGCCGTGCACTGAAATTGTCCGGGGCCAACTGGCATCGAGCGCCAAGCAGCAGAGAGACGCCAACCCAACCTGGCAGCCAGCAACTGAGCTGAACAACATTTTGCTACTCTCCTCAACAATTGCTTGCTTTTAAAATACAATACTAAACAGCAAAAATTTGCTTTTGAAATTGAAATTGTTTTAGTTCTGCTTGTTTGTATTTTTTATTTTTTTTTTTTTCGCTTACGTATTTTGTATTTTGAATTTGGCCTGGCTGCCTGCTCTTTGCCTTCGCTTCGCTTTGGCGTTTGTGCTCAATTCGAATTTGGCTTTTTGTGGCCGTCTGTCGGTGCTGCGATTTGTTTTGTTTTGCTTCGATGTGTTTCTTTTTTTTTTTTTTGTTGGCCGCGTTAAAGAACTTGCTGCAGACACAAACTGGAAAATCGGCAACGAGTTCAACTCGTAAACAAATTGCTCAGTTTACTTTTTAAATAGACACACTCGGATTATGGCTAATTTAGCTGTGCTCCATAAAACACCAAGAGATTTAAAGCAACTAGTTGCACTGGAGCAGCCAAGCAGCCTCCAATTGCTGCACACTATTTCATACCTAACATATACCCTGTAATTGTAGGCAGAGATTAACTAGAAGATAAACAACAAAAGTATTTACACTAAGTGTAGCCAAAGTAAATTTATAAGAATTATAAATA